ATTGGTTTCCCCTCTTAAATAATGAATTGTTATCCTTTGGAAAAAAAGAAAAAGAAAGAAGCAATTGGTAGTGCTTAGGGTACCTGGTGCATTCGTCTAGATTTACAAAGGAAAATTGAAAACAGCCCCGGCTTTCGACTGCAAATATTAGCTCCTGAGCCTCTACAGCTTCCCTTCTCTCCTGGTGCTGCTGCTAGGCTCCTGCTCTCGCAGATCCTCACCCAGCACATCCTCCAGGTTGGGATCCCGAAGCTGTTAATTTGGCGGCAGCAAACCTAGCGTAAGAGACGGTAGTTTATGTCAGTTCCCATGGCTACAACCCGGACGATGAAGCACCCGACGTGGTGCTATTTTTGTCCTGCGTTTGCTCCCGGGCCTCTTCTGCCGGCGCTCTTCCGTTTGAACTTATCTTCTAATTTGCGCTTCATTGATGGACGGCCCCAGCGCCCTGTCCGTTGCCATGGCGATGCTCGAGTTAATGATCTAGCCTATGTGTGGATGCCACCTCGCAGTGTAGGCACTTACATGCACTTGCCTACATGCCCCGGGCACTCACCTCCCGCAGGTGTCAAGGTCAGGGGCCGCCTGCGTTTGTAACACGATTCGCTGCTTGGCCACTGCGGTGGCGGCCCCAGAAAACAAAAGTCCCCAACCTCGGCTGCAGGTGCTCGTTCCCGACCGGACTTAATTTTCCTGCGAGGTCATCGTCCCTGCTCCACCAAAAAGCTGTCGAGTTTCTATCCAGTTACACGTCTTATATTTATATTTGCCCCATCGTATTTTTTCCCCTAAAAGTTGCATTTGGTGGCAAGCTCCCTGTGGTCATACTGATTCGCGTAAGTGAGGCTTTCGAGCTCCGTTGTTTCACGTTCCGCGTTTCACAAGAGCAACCCGCCCCACTTCCCTCTCCCCCGTTTTCATCCTCGGGCCCTTTCTTGATGTCCAACAATAGCAGAGTTGGGGAGGTGAAAATCCAGGCATCGTACCAGGAGAAAGAATTATTGTACCTGCCCGAGCTCGGGGAAGCGGACATGGCAGGGATCGGTGTGAAATGTATGTTTTTCCATTTGCACTATTTTCCGAAATATTATATATCCTCTACCCCGGTCGAGCCACCTGCCGAGCTGGCATGACTTTTACAATGTGCTCAAGCCCCTAATTCTGCATATTTTCTATGCAATCTGCTTCTTTGCTGCTCACAGTGCGTCTGGGCAGAAAGGGTTGACGTATGGGAATGACCGAAGCAGGTTCTTTGCCGTCTTCCCAGCGTCAGCCCCGGCCCGGCCCGCGCCTCATTCTCGCCGTCGCCAGTGGCCACCCCGTTACCCGGCAGGTTCCTCCAGCCATGCACCGCGGGGGTCTTAGCTAGAGCAGGATATTCGGAAACGTCTTCCTCACTTGCAAATGGAAAAATCATGTAGATGTCCTATATATTAAAATATAAAAATATACTTAGCATCACATGTTATATTAAAATGTACATACAGAATTGTAGGGATGTGTTCTTATTTTTATTTTTGCGCCTTGTCATCGGAGAAAACTATTAAAACCACAGGCGTAGAGCGAGGGTAGAGGGCCCTCAGGTGTCAGCCGCGCCAGCCTGGTGCCTCTCGTCGCATGTGTGAGTAGCTGCAAGCACCCCGAGTTCCTGTCTCCCTGGGATTTGGGTACCACAAGATGCTGTGCCCCACCCCAGCCTTGAAAACCCTCCCCTGGCTTCATGCCTATTTTCTCCCAGCTTCCTCAGAGTACAATGCACCTTTGCCCACGTTTCAGCTGCAAACTCTGTAAGCAGGTCCCCGTGACGCGCCGACTGGGACCCTCTCAGATACGGACGTTACCCAAGGCTTGAACTTGACAGGGGCCCTGGTGTATATCCCCGTGGGGGGGGTCTCCCCGACAGTCCTTCCTTCCGGACATTCTTCTTCATTCCTGTCGGCTGCACCCACAATCGGACTCCCCAGCACGCTTCTGGGAGCGGGTCACGTCCACCTGCGATGTGCGGGAAGCCGGACACTTGGATGGGCAAAGCCCAGGAGTGGGATTTGCCGTGAGGTTTCGGGGGGCAGCTCTCCGAAGCGGGGCTGCCTGCCCGCCCGCCCGCGGCGTTATCGATGATGCTCACCTGGCTTGTTAGCGGGAAACTGCAAGGCAACGGCCAACATTCGTTTCCATTTGAACTTCTTTTGATGAAATCATCTTCCATTACACAGTGACAACTTCCCGGCAGAATCTGGGTCGGCGGCTCTGTGCTCTTCCAAATGACACCATTAAGCCCCTCTTCGGAGGGGATCCGGGGAAACCACACGAAATTTATGGGACTCTGTCCGGCTGTCTGCTCCTTGCCCTTCCATCAGAGCCGGGCGGAACCGGCCAGCGGGATCAATAGTTATTATTAGAGGTGGCCAGGCCAACCAGGCAAATGAGCCTAGGAGGTCTCATTCCTGAGGATGCCGCACTCAAAACAAATTTGTTTTCACTCCAACAGCCTCTTCGGGGAGCTGCCGGAGGCGAGCGGTTTGATGGATCCCGCTTTGGAGAGCGATTGGGATGCCTCCAAGCGCCGTAAAAGGAATTGGGTTTCTGGTCTCGGGGCGCATTCTCCCGCTTGTTCTAATTGCGCTTGGCGTGCGCCCCGCTGGCTGCCGGGGAGCCGGGCCTGCCTTCAGCGCTTGCCTGGGGAAACAGCTCTTGGGGAAAGAATTTCAACAATTCCTAAGGAATTAAAGACGGAAATTTTGCTCCAAAATACATAAATCTGCAATGCGTACGTGATGATTGGGTAGCCTTATTGCGAAGTCTTATCACAGCATATTCTTAAAGGCCCCGGGCTGGAAAATGGGAGTTTTACCAGGAGACGTGTTCATATAAAAAGACATTGGATCGCCTGGAATCAAGGCGGGACTCTCTTGGGTCGTCTTCTTATGAATATAAAGGGGTGAAATATCTTAATTAGCCCCCCTCAGCTTTATTGAGATACAAATGACGTACGACCTTGTGTAGGTTTAGGTGTGATGCGTGTATTTACTGAGAAATGACTGCAAGAGGCGCGTTAGCGCACCCATCCCCTCGCCTACCACTTTTGTGCGTGGCGAGAGCTTTTAAGATCTACTCTCTTAGCAACCGTCAGGCGTCCAGTAGAGTGTCGTCAGCTGTGGTCGCCGGGCCGTACCTTACGNCTTTTGTGCGTGGCGAGAGCTTTTAAGATCTACTCTCTTAGCAACCGTCAGGCGTCCAGTAGAGTGTCGTCAGCTGTGGTCGCCGGGCTGTACCTTACACCCCAAGAACTTACTCACCGTAGAGCTGCAAGTCTGTGCCTTTTAACCACCTTCGCTCAGCCCAGGATTAAAGGTTGCCTAAAAATTATAATAGTAAAAGCAGTATTAATAATAACAATGGTGTACTTATAATAGTATATGATATCAGGTTATAAATGTTAATAGAATATATAGCATTAGTGTCACTATATTGGCACATTGTATGCATGTTAATGTACATATAGAATCTATGTTATTATGATATAACATATACTAATACATTATTAATGTCATTATAAATACCCTGTTGAACTTGAAGAGTTGGGAGAATATCAGGAAAAAGACTGAAGGAAGAAGAGAAGCCTGAAAAGGCGTTTCTCCCTTCGCGAATTTATGAACCTACCACCTAGACGTATATGTCATGGTAAAATATCACAGGGAAAAAACAAAGAGCAATTTCAAAAAAATGCCTCATTTCTCTATCGACATATTTTGAAACACTGCTTTGGGGAAGAACAATCCCCGGTTGCTTTTTTAAAATTTAAATGACAACTTGGGACTCTAACGATTTTAACAAACGATTTTAACGATTGTACAACTCCTTCGACTCAGTCACAACAGTGGTGTGTCTCGGGGGCCAAAAGTTGCGACACGGAGAATGAAAAAAAGCCACCGCCGGTCTGCCAAGCCGCATTTCAGAGGAAAAAAAAAATCCCCTTTTTAGAAACAAGTTCCCTGAATTAATGAGCTTAGCTGGGGCGCTGGCTGAATCAGACCTTCCCTCCCCGGAAACTCCTCGCGTGAGACAACCCTTCAAAGGTTCCTACTTATCCTCTGAAGCACAGGGCGAGTCCCTTTTTATTAAAAGTCTCTCCGCCTTTAATGAAGGAGATTAGATTTTCTTTGACTTCTTTCTACCCGAGAATCTTCCCCAGGGAGGCAGGATCATGGGCAGAGCAGGTGGGACAGGAGTCTGCACTGTTCCCTGAAAACAGAGACCCCCAGGCCCAGGTGCCACCTGACCAGCGGGCGTGAGAAGCTGGATGGTCGCCGTGTCCGTAGGCATTTCGGTTTATGATCTTGGCCTTCAGTCTAAGTTCAGGGCCTGTCGTCTTGAGATGGACGCTGCATCTTCAATGAATTTTGTGCCTTTGCGTGAGGTTAACTAACATTCATGAGTCTCACAGGCCTTGGTCGCTTCCACTGGGGTTCTCAACACTCACAATCAAATGGGCAAATAACGAAATACCTACAAGCAGCTTTACCTGAATGATCCCCCAAAGCATTTCACTCGTAACTGCTCAGATTTCCGGACACTAAGGACAGCAGTGACCTCATGTGTACATTTCTGCTCCTTGGCCACGTGCGAGTGTAGAGGTCGCTGCTCTATTTCTTTATTTCCTCAGCTTGTTTGCCGTGACCTAAATTTGTCTGTGAAATATGGGGCCAGTGGGCTTTGAGCAGACAATCCAAGTGACTCAAATATAGCCATTGTCTCTTGTTTCTCTCTGATAATATATCCCTTACATTCAGTGAAAAATTCTATTTCTCCAATATGCGTCGCCTACATAGGCTAAAATATTAAAAGGGGGGAGAACGAGAGAAAACCAGACTGAGGGACAAAGTCAACCGAAGGCCTAGTGAGGTGCTGCTCCAGTGAAGAGCTGGCTATTAATTCATGATCTTTCAGGACCTAAGAGCAAGAATCCCAACGGGAATGGTTGTCAGATGACATATTGGGGTCATGAAAGGAAATATATCTTTCCCTAGAAACCGGGAGGATCTGAGGAATCTTCCCCCCTCTTCCCACTGCTTTTAGGGGCATGATCTGCATCCTAAAAGTTCTCACAGACGGGACAGTCCAGTGGGGACAGATGCCCCAGACACACCCTCGCGCTGGCTCCTGGGCGCTGTGGGCCCCGCTGGGCCGCTTTGTGTAATTTGACGTGGGGATGTGTTCAGACAGGATGGATCAAAGCGCCCGAGAGCTTACTATGAGAATTCAAAGGCAAAGAAGGCTTCAGATGACCTGGAAACACCTCGGTGTAGAGCGTCCCGGTGTTTTAATTTCTCCTGGCGTTTTACCTTCGGGGACTTTGCAGAATCTAACTGTGGTTGAAGCGAAGCGCTCAGCTGGGTGTCCGAGTCTATCTTTTTTCCCTGATGAATGCGCCGTCAGAAATTGGATTATCTTACTTGGATTTTCTTACCTATTTGTCTAAGCTGCTCAAGTCTTTCACTGGAACAAATTCGCCGAGCGTCTTCCTGCTTCTGGGGGGGAAGGAGAGATACAGGGATGCCCTTCACCGAGAGATAAATCCGGCTACTTAAGTGAAAGACCACAGCTGGATGGCTGCTCCGAGCACTATTATGAAAGTGGGTTAAGACAAGAAATATGGGGCCCTATTAAAATTTCAAGGGCAATGGAGACAGGCAAGATATAATGAATGGTATTGGAGTTTGGCCAGGTCAATGGTGTTAAAACTAACTCACTCAGAGAAACAGATAAATCCGAGGCCCTGGCCTTTGTTTAACCTCCCGTCCAAAAAATGATTCTTCTCGGCCAAAACTTTTGATGGCGTTCCAGAGTATCTGTTTAATAGGGGACTCAGAAGGAACACTGCCTTCACTTTGATCACCTGGGGCTCTTCGAAACCCAGGTGTGAAGGAGAAACATAGCCAATTGCTATCTTTATTTGCCCCTTTGAAATTCATTCAGTCATTGAAGCAAATTTGTATATATTAGAACATTTAAGTCACAAAATAAAGTGTTCACACACGGGAGAATGTTCCTCATTCCAAAAAAAAGTGCAAAAGAGTGAAATCTCAGTTCTGTTGTTGAATTTGGGCTGCACAGTTACCAAAGAGTTTCAGAGTCACCATCTAGGCAACACCTTTGTGTTAAAATTGTGTTAGCTTTAATGGGAAAAGTCGTAAAATTTCACTATTGGACAAAATTCACCCATAAATCTTTCGTCTTATGAAACTTACTGTTATCAATTAAGTCTCCCCAGACTTAACTGATAACATTAGTCACTTAAAATAAAATAGTTTATAAATATATACAATGAAAACCCCATCCCGCTATTCTTTTAATGTACATGCTGGATGAACTAAACACACACACACACACACACACATATTTTTGAGAGATGTTATGTTTGAAAATTATTTTTGTCATCCAAATGGAAAAGTTGAGGGACGTTCAGGAAAGAGGCTGGGGCCGGAGATAAGAGTGTTGGCGTCATAAGCATCTCCATACAATGTAAAGTCAAGAGAGACCATGAGATTTCCTGGCGAGTCAGTGGACATGGGAAAGAGAAGACGCCCAAGGACTGAGCCCAGCATTTAGAGGTGAAGGAATAGAAGATAAGAGTTTTCTATGTGTAGCTACTATCTGCTCAAGTTACTTAGGATCCAGACTCTCAAACTTGAAATTGTAATTAAGGGGGAAAATGCATCTCTAAGAGCAATGAGCTTAAAACATAAAGTCAGCAAATGAACAAATTCTATTGAAAACATCTCTTAGGCAGGAGCTATTGACTGTCCCACATGCTTCTTGGCTTCATCGATACAGGACACTTTCCGTGTCTCCTGTGTGGCTCTATGTGGATAATTTAGTTGGATTTAGGTAAAGTGGCAGGATTTCATTTTTTTAGGATAAGCGAACGTTTTTAGCAACACTGTGCTTGATGCAGATGAACCTGGGAGTGGGAGCCCCGTGTGCAGTCGCTTGGCCAGGTGGCTCCCATCGGGGTGTTTCTCGTTAAGAAGCCGCTATTTCTGTCTGAGGTTTGAAGGCAGGGCTTCCCGGGATCCCCGCAGAGAGCAGATGGGGGGAGCAGACCAAAATGCATCCTCAGAGGCGACGAAGGAGGGCTCCAGAGACCCCTGAGGGTGCTGCTTTTAGCTGGAGCAAATGCTAATTGGAGCTGGTGAGTGAACGTTGGAATCGAGCATTGGACTTGGCTTATGAGACAGTTGGGAAAGCTGGGAAAGGTTTATCACCACTATGTTTGATAAACAGAAACAAATTGTGAGAATGAAAAACATGAGCCAGTTGTTTCCAATTTTGCTTGGTTGGCTAGAACAGGATGCTTCGAGGAGGGGCACACGGGTCATGAGATCCTTTCTTAAGTTTTAGAAGAAATGCTGTCATCTGTGTTAAAAAACAACAACAACCAACAGTTAATGTATCACGCTGTCTGGATTCTTATAATCCCCACTAAATTCTATCTGGCATAAGTAGCACAAACAGATCCTGTCTACCAATTTGTCTGTACCTTTTATGGCTTCGCCGTGGCTGTTATATTATCGTATTTTTATGCATCGTTTTCCTCGTGCTCTTTCGGTTTCCTCTGGGAAGAGACTGTGTATTTTCAACATTATATTCCGAGAACTGAGTCCCGTGCCCCAAACTGGACAGCTGAAACATAATAGAAAGAAGTAGCCAACATTCCTTCCAGTAACGGTCAAGGAGGGTCGTAGAAAATAAAGATAATTTACTGATTTTGGAATGAGCAGAACAGTGTTGTTCAACTCCAGACCTTCCCCAATTATAGATTTTTTTTTTGAGCTTAACCATTACAGTTCTGTGAATCCGTGGGCTTAAGCAGATGCAGAGGCCTTTAAATCAAGTGTTGATGCAGCGCTCTTCCCTAGCCTCGCGGCTGGGAGCAGGAGATGGCCATGACTGCGTGTGAGGCTGTTTCGCCAAAGAAAACATTTCAACGATTTGGGGGAGTTAGACAATAGGAACCATTATTGCTCTAGACACGTGAGTGTCCAAGCGTCAGTTCTAAGAATTAAGATACCCGAGTGGATCTTCAGGTTTTTCTGAGTCATCTGATTGAAGGAGACGTTTGGTTTCTCTGGGCCGTGACAAGTTGCTTCACCTGCGGGGAAGCCCTGGACTCGAGCTGCTGCTCTTCAGAGAAGCTTGGTTCCTCTCGCCGGACCGTCTGCCCCCCCCC